CCATTCCGCGCGAATTGGGCCTTCTGCTCGGACGTGAGCCTCCCTCATCCCCCCCAAGCCAGCCGCGACCAGCGTCAAGATTCCTTCCCTCCCTCATCCACACACAGCCAACTTCCTCTTCCCTCTTCCTCCTCCCCCATCCTTGGGACCAAGACCCTCACACCATGAGAGAACGCCAAACAACAAACCATTATCGAACAATCGGATGCCCGCCGAAATGTTCATTTCAAAATTCAATACAAAATGACCTCTGTCATCGACGAGAAGTTTCCAGGCGGTGTACGAGATAGCAAAGGTTGCGAGGAGGTGCAGAGAAAATATGTCTAATATGCTAATTACAAAAGTGTCAGTGTCCTCATGAGAGAGGTACAAAAGTGCAAGAGGTGACTGCGCTGAGATGGCGCGAAAGAGAGAAGGAGAGGGGGGGCAAAGGGAAGGGAGGGAAAGGGCAACTTCACAGATGGGAGCATTAAGGGTAGCATTGAACAACACGAGTTTTCGCACTGCATAGCTGCAAAAAACGCGTAAAAAACAAGAAAACCTTGAAAAGGTGAAGGGCTGGATTGGGGGAGGGGAGTGCGGAAGAAGTAACAGTGGGGGGGTTCCACAACACAGCATCTGTACAATTCGTTTGTTCATCTCGGTGGTAAGTTGGTACTGGCGTATATAATGAGATGTGCTTTGCCAGGCAGGGTTTGCAGTCATAGGCGGGTCCGTGGCTTTCGCCCCCTCCCTTCCAGCGGCACAGGCACTAGTACTGCAGAATTTCAGATTTAAAGCCAAAACTAAGGTAAACTAAAGCTTAAAGTAACTTGAAGTAACGGTGTTACAATTCTACTCCTAGTTTTTGCATGGTTCCAGGGTGCGAGGGGACTTTTCTCCCCATCCTCCATCTTCTCTCCCTCCCGCCCCCCAAAGTCCAACGTGAGCCCGCCTATGCTGGCATTCGGTGCTTGCAACAGCGCAGGCTATCTCCAAATTCCCCATTTTTTAGAGGCGACAAATATGGTTGGGGTTTTGGGGTTTTTTTTTGACCTCAGTCGGACGTTACAAGGTCTATCCTGCCATATTGGTCTTAAATAATTGACCCGCTAACTCGGC